TAGAATAGGTACGGAAGAATCAGCCAATAGCAAAGTATTAGTGCAGTAAATATATATATATATACTTTTCTCGAGCTTTTTTTGCTCATTTTCGCGTAGCTCGTTTAACTTTATCAAGATAATCGCGACCGAAAGTCTTTACTTTTCGTTGGGGTTTCTAATTTATCAGCTTGAACTTTTTAAATGATTGCTGTCAATCGATTCATCGATCCGATTGCTCGCATTAGAATAACGTTGCGATGAAATGCTGAAACGAGATACAAGGGAAGGAAGAGAAACAATAATAGTTCATCGTATCGTCTATTAATGCGAATAATGCGAGAAGTTAGTCCCGACTGATCGACACCGACGTTGTACACGGCTCTTCTATCTCTCACCTCCTGACATTGCGGTCAGGCGAACCGAGCGAACGGAAGTTATGCCTTTGAATCGCTTCGCGCAACGCTCGGCAAACTGCAACGAACTGTTGTGAGCGATGAGAGAATCATTAGTCAGGTCGATAGGTCCTCTGCTGAGTCATAAAGATAGCGCAGTCTCCCGACGTCCATTTTACAGTTTCTTGTTATCATCGCGTATAGTCAACATTATCCAACTATCTGGATGATAATGAAAATGATTTACTTGAAAATATGGTGGAAAAACGTTGTGTCATTTCATCATTTCGTCTCTACTAATATACAAAGTCGAAAATAAAGCGGGATAAAATTAGTTATAATATAATCGTATATCTTTGTAAGTATGAATATACAATTGTAGGTTCCATCTCAATTTTTGCGTATAAGTTTAATGAAAATTAAACAATCAATTTTTGACTTTTTTTCTCCCGTGAAATGTGAATACGCGTGATTGTTAGCGAACAGAAAATTTTCTGAAGCCGCGGGCGTTTCGCTCATTGAAAGTTTAAATCATTCGCCATTTATTGAACTAATACAAAGCTTAATGAAGCGAAATGCAATGGCGTAACGGAAAATATGATCAATAACAAATTGAAATATTACTTTTATTTTTATTTCCCCGATATTCGGAACTTTTATATATATTTTAGAACATATATATATATATATATGTTCTAAATATATGATTATTATATATATATATGATTTTTACGATGCGTCTGCAAGTAAACATTTATGTTGCCTCATTTATTATCTGCATTTTTATTATCGTGACATTGTTGATTAAAGCGATCCTTTTAATTGCATTTTTATGCTGATGGATAGTATCGAATACATATATCGATTATTGGTTCGAAATAAATAAAGCAGCTGTGCAAATTCTAATATTAAAGCTATCATAATTGCTGCTCCACGTAATTAATGAAAATCTTTAAGGATTAATTCATTAACCCTTATAGTATTAATTTGCGATTTGTACGTTTACATCGATGTTTTATCTTTCGTTCTCGACTGCGATTCCACTCAGGCTCCAACTGGGTCCGCTCTTTCTCTTTCCTCGGTTCATTAATTACGGCAGATTCCTGCCGCTTAACAAAACACTTTTTACTTTTGCCAGATGCCGGGTACGTAGAATAGGCACGAGCGTCATTCGGTCACGAAATTGGTCACGTGGCTGGAAATGTTTTGTGCACGTGTAACCAAAAGGACAGAACGAGAGAAAAAGAGAATAGGCGAGCGAGAGGGGAAAAGGGAGAAGGGAAGGGGAAAGGGCGGAAGAGAAAAAGAGGGATAAAGACAGCCGGTCCATACAAGGGGATGCGCCACTTCGATCGAACCCGATTTGTTACGTAAGCGAATATACCGGGTATTCCACGAGAGAGAACCGTGTTTATCGCGCTGTGAAAACTCTTGTCACGTGCAATCGCGAAAGACGGACCGAAGTTCGTAACTGTAACGTTGCTGCTGCAATCCGCGCGCTATCCGCACGTATTTCAATTTCGTTTATGATCCCATCGTGCGTGAGCACGATGAATGCAAAGCTGTTCATTCAACGCGATTCCAGGACGATGCAGTTCGAGATATCGTCCGATATGATTAAAGTTGGGAAGCTGAACGATGATCTCTATATAAAGTTGATATTATACATTTTCAGAATAGCGATATAATTGACAGTTCTTCCTTAAAAAATTCCATTGTTTGATACGTCAAAAAAATATCTGCATAAATGTGATCCATCTCTTCACGTTTTTGTTATAAAAAAAATAATATCTTTTTAATTTCAATTAAAATCTATTTGATATGAACGCATATTTAAATCTAGTTTTATTATCCAATTAAAATACGGAAATTTCTTTCAAAAATAAAAGTTAAAGGTAAAATTTGAGAAAAAAAATATATTACATATATCGATTTACATTACATTGGACCGTTCTTATCCGTAGAATCTGAATTCGAGCACGTGACAAGATCATCTTGCGTTAAGCACATAACGCGCGCAATTCTGGCACTGTCTAACGTAATCGCGTAATTGCATCGACGGGAAATTCGCCACCGAAAAAAACTGTTCACGAAACGATCTCGGGCCGTCTGTGATCTCGGACGAATATGAACCCTCGGCCGACACGGTTACTTCCGGTCGACGGCCAGATTTCACGGCGAATTAAAAATTTCGCATCCTGGCGGGCCGCGCGCTCGCCGGTCGATGAATAAAACATCGTTCTGCGTGGTTAGTCTGATTATTTACGCAGGTACGCGGCGAGCAGTCGTGCGAGCCAAAATCGATGTAGCTGCGGCTTGTAAATATCTAGTATTAATATACATCGGGAACGCATCTCTGTGTGTGCGCGTGGCACAATTTTTTTAACGTTGCCGTTCCGAAAAAACAAATCAACGCGTACGGTGAATATACATTTTGCATTCGGAAGAATGAATTTTTTGTACGGTATCGCCGTGAATTTGATAAATCGAATCGAACCGAGAATGTCCAATATCTAGGCTAGACATAGTCCAGATAGTAAAGTGTAGTACTTGAACGTAATTAAATGCATATGCTTGCTATAGAAGCTCTCTTCCTGCTGATTAATGATCTCAATGATTAAAAGCTAGCTGCATAGCCGGTCGTTTGTCTATACTCGCAGCTCTTGAGAAAAGGATCGGACGATGACGAGAAGTGGAGATGCAATGAGAAAAGTTGGTTAATGAGCCTTTGCGCAGATTACTATGTGATTGACACGCAGAAGCTCTCTGTGTGGATGCATGTCTTCCTAATATCAATGATTATCTAGATAGATAATTGGAACTGTAATTCTGATCCAATTATATCCTTTCGGTGCTTCATCTTGATATGCTTGCGTTATGCTTAAGAAACCTTTATTTTTATATGTGTAATTAGTGTACAGAATAATTTCTTTTAGCTTTTATGGATTATTTGAAAATAAGATACTTATCATATGATTTTATTTTTCAAAAATTGCTTTAATTTTATTCGTAGAAAAATACTAGTTAAAATTGTCTTTTTATACATCTTCCTCAGAAACGTGTTTTCCCTCAAAATTGTATAATGTTCTCCACAATTATATATTATTGCGTTATAATTAACTATAATTTTTTTAAGTGGTCTAATGTATACGTTCAGTTTAGATAGAATAGTAGCAATTATAATGAAAAATTCAAGCAATCATTGTTAATAACCAAGTATTACGAATATATTCCTAGTCCAAGGATGATTGCTTTTAACTCGCGGGGCGGATACAGAATGCCTATCTAGGGGTGATCGGTTCCCCGTACGAATTACATTTAGACAGCCACGTGGCTCGGTTCCTGAGGGATTCTCCCGCATGAACGAGCTGTAAAATCGCGCCGAGATTATTCAGCGTGAAAGGAAGACAGAAAGATATAGATATATATATAGAGAAGAGAGACCTCGTTCGTGCGAACTTCGTCCAAAAGTGGATTATAGAGTCGATCATCGATTTTGTTCTGCTCGTTAATTCTCGTCTAATACGATACGAACGTAAAGTCATGCGTTTCCGAGACCAAGAGCGTCGTCTATTCTCCGTATCGATGAAACAGTTACTTTGTTATCGCGCGCAGTATTATCTCGGATTTACTTGGCGGCGAGGGAAAGCACGATCCAATTAGGACCGTGGCGTTATTACCATAAAACATTTCAGTCGTAACTCGGGCAAACGGATCGCAATGCCGTGCAACAGTTCCCAGGTTTACCCCATAGGGATTTCATGCTAAAGTATTTAACTGCGTCGTTTAAATCGATTATTCTATGAAATAACGAAATAGTTAAGTGACTCGAGTAAATCACTTTTCTTGTAAGTGGAGTATTCGATATTTTTGTGTATGATGTACAGATATTATTCTGATTGCATTTCAGTCTCTTTCATGATTATTTGACACAATTTAATAATGAGATGTGTTATTCAGTTTAATCGATTATAGTGGGATAAAAGCAATAGAATAATTAGATTATAAAAGTTTTCTTCTTCATACAACTAACTAAATATCCGATATTGATTTATTTATTTATATTTATATAGAAATAGCATCCCTTCATCAAACATCGAAATATCCAAATTTTGTGGACAATTATGTAATTTAGCTTTAAAAAAGCTTTGCAGTTCGATCCCGAGAGTTAAATATAAGCAAGGATTTGATTGGTCGATTGACAAAAATAATTAAATAAATGGATGAAAGTGCGCGCTTTTTGGAGTAACAGTTTTATATATAATATTATTATGAATTGCAACTATTTTGATACAGAATGTCCTCAATTTCTTGCATCTGTTTGATAAATTTAAAATAAATAATAAAGTATAAATAAAATTACATATAAAAGTATATATTTACATATAAATATAAATTGAATTGTCTATATCTATCTATACTCATATGTGTTTGTTTATTCGGGGTAATTTTAAATACTACTGAACTGATTTGAAAAAAATATTTCTCTGATGGATAGCTTAATTAGAGCTTTTTTTCTTGAGTAATATAAGTTATAAATTTCGGCACGCGTTCAATAATAATTTTTTGAAATTGTAATTAATTTAAACACTGCTATAATTTAAATTTTATATTTGTATGTTACAGACAATGTAAAATTTGGGAGTGCCGTTAAAAGTATCGCGCATACGAGTGCGGGAGTGCCGTTAAAAGTATCGCGCGTATCAGTCGACGGACTTGACGACCCTAACAATTTGAGAGGAGGAGGAGGCCTGGGAGAGGCATCGGGTACCGGCGGAACAACCCTAAGGTGAATATATGTATTATTTATTATTATTTATTATTTATTATTATAAATCACATTTGTGATTCAGTTCATTTATTTAAATAATTTGAACAAGAGAAACCAGAGATATTATATATAATTTTTAAGAGATTATATAGATATTTATACATATAAATCTCATAAAAAGTTTTTACTTAAAAAATTGTTTTTTTTTAATTTATAAAATTATTTTATATATTTATATATCATTGTTATGTGCCAGATTTAAAGTTCGATGCATTCAATAATGATTTTGTAAAATAATAATTCATTTAAACGCTGGTATAATTTGGATTTTATATTTGAATGTTACAGACAACGCAGCTTAAACACCAACTACTACGCTGTTGTGCATCGGTGTCGGTGAGTGGATTTTATTTAATTTGGAGGTAATAGATTTATAAATCGTAGTTGTACATTTTTTGTAGAGATTTGTTGCCTTATATAAAATAGATGGACTAGAATTAATTAGATCCAAATTTATACTTATTGTTAGATTGAACTTTTGATAGATACCTTTAATATACGTAATTAAAACATATTACACATACAAGTGTAAATTAAAGTATAAATTTAAAGAAATATATAAAGAATTTCAATTTATATTTTATTTATTTATTTTATTTAAAAAATGTGCTTGTGATTTTATTAATTGTACATAATAACAACTACATTATGTATAAAAATAATGTATTCTTTTAACAAACGTTGATTATCCTAATTTTTTATAGTCCATCTATGTAGTATGACATATGAAAATATTATACTTTAATTGATATAAATCCAAGTTATTGATCAATTCAATAATATATACGATACGAATTTTAATGAATTTTATTTTATTATAAAATTATAAATTTTATTATAAGTAAATACTATATATATATTTATATATAATAATAGTAATTATTATTATTATAAAAATATAAATGAAAACATTTTAATCAATGACTTGGCGTTACGTTAGTTAAAACAAAATTATATTCAACGATTATGACAAACGATCGTGATTTCTTACGATCGTATTCGAGAGTAAAATTACGCTCAAGCACCGGCGATGATAATTAGCCAGAAACGGAAGGAATTTCCCTCCTTCATTGAGATCTCCGATAGAGGTCAAAGTCTCTGACTAAATGTAGATTGTGACTAATAAAGGTATGTACATAGATCCATTAGTATAAAAATATAGTTGATTTAATCGTGCAAATAACGCTATTGTAAGATACAGGTAAATAACGTAAGCACAATATATATCTCATATATCTAATATTTGATATTAACTTTTAAAATGAATATATATATATATTCATTTTAAACGTTAATATCAAATATACAATTCATCGATTGTGTGTATATATGTGTGTGTATATTACCTAGTTGATGAATATAAATAAGTCACAAAGTTAATAAATATAGGAAATGAAAAATTAAAATACTGGCACATTATGTAAAATAATGTTGCAAAATATTACTTACTATTCTTTTTTGTTCTTTTTTATTTATGCAAATTTAAATTTCTTATAAATTTCAAGCGATTTGTGCATCTTGTAATTAACAATCTCTATCATGAATTATTAAAATATCTTTGCAAAGAAGTTTGTACATTAAAAGAAGCATATATATTTACACATTTTATTCACACGTTCTTATTTGTTACTTCCATATTAATAATGCAGTCAAAACGGTAATTCGACTATTTTACTAATGTGTCTGTAGACGGCATAAACCATCTACGTATGACTACGTATGTATATCGTCGACTGTAGGATTAAATATTTACTTGCTCAGTACTGAGCATCTTCTTGAATCCTCCCAGATCCTCTCGGATTCTCTCAGACAGTTATGTCTATTCTGAATATTGCCACCTAGGGACGATGTTAACTTTGAATACCGTACGTTCGAGATATTCTATCTTCAGCGTTTCTGGATACGTGCAACGTATTAAGGATAATTAATATTGTTCGCGAAATGGGGGAGAAATTGAAAGTCTATTCATTATTAATTATTTAGTGAATATTACTAATTTATTATATATTAATCACTATGTAAATGACATATGTATAACATTGAAACTAAACAGTATAATATAATGCAAGTATATAAATAAAAACTTCAAAATAAAAATTCAACAATATATAGTAGGCAATTAAATAAACTATTTTTTTATGTACACTGGAAAAAATTTGTTAACTTGACTAAATCTTTCAACTAAATTATTATTTTGTTGATTGAAAATATATTAGTATTTAAGTCAAATATACATTTTGTTAAATTTAATATATATGTTACATTTAATTTAAATATTTTTATATGTTTAATTAATAAAATAATATTTAGTTGAAAGGTTTAGTCAACTTACAAATTTTTTTTCAATGTACACAAGAATGTTCATTAATGTTTTAACATATGATTTTAAGTGCATATTGGAGCATGTATGAAAAAATGTACTCATTGTCAAACATGTTCCATTATATGCATAAATTCATTGAGGTATTAATGACTTTGTGTGTACATACATATATAATATTGCGAGGTAATTTGCATAAAAATATCATCTCCTGCGCAATGTTCGCGTTGAGCGAATATCGCAGTTATTCCATCTCGCTACGCTTGACATAGACGATATCTAATTGTGCACAATCATAATGCAGCACTTCCGTCGACAACTTTCGCCGAGAGCCGCAATTTGCGAATTCGTCCTGCGTCGGATGGCGTAGCGAGAATGAGAGTAATGAGGAGAAGAACGGAGAGACAGATTCAGCGATGTGGCGCACTGGTGAATTTTACTTTCTATAGCTCGATGAATGAATAAAGCACTCGTCAAGCATTCAGGAATAGAATTGAATGATTGTTCCAGATTGCGTAATTTACACTCGTACTTTCTCATTGTTGTTCTCGAAAAGAAAACATTGGGCCTTGTTGATCGTCTAAATACTTTCTCTCTTCGCGAGTTCTATGTGAAAATTTTTAATCTTACATTTTCAAATTTTTGAAAATAAATTATAATTATTTATTTGATATAATTTTGTTACTATATTTATAAATTAAATCGTACATAATTTTGATATTTATCTTGAAAATATTATTTTATTGCAATATACAAAAATATATATATCCATTTTAATAATTACAATCTAATCTAATATTATTTGTATATAAAGTTTATATATGTGAATATATTTAAGAAACTCTCAAAATATCTTTTTGTATACCTAAAGCTGTGCACTAAAATAACTTGTTATGATCATTAAACTACGGAAGACTTACTCTTGAGATAAAAATCAGACATACACCGTAGAAAAACATAACAAAACTACCAGCCCGAAATCTGATAAAGTAAACGGTCTTGTAAGCGTACGTCTATTTTATGTGAAACAGTTTGTAACGTAACCGTTGATATCCGGCTTACGACCACTCAGGCGATCTGAATTCGAATTTTATTGCTCCCTAATACGAATGCGGAGAATTTACCTTTCCTCCCTTTTGCTCGTTTGACTTTATCTTCTTTCGCGAATCTCTTGCGTCGACGTCGAGACGAAGGAAAACAGTCGGATGTACATTAAGCCGCCGTGGCTTTTATTGTGCCTTCCTTCTACATACTGATCTCGAATCCCTTCGAAATCGATCCTTTCGAATTGAACTCTAGACAGCAGGCGACACGATAGTCCTTCGTGTCTGCGAGACATTTACGTTTGTTGCTGCGAGCGAAATATTTTACGCTATACAAACACAAGTAGAGAGAACGAAATGAAGGATAAAGAGAACGAAAGACAAGGGGATTAAAGAAGCACTCTAATATAGTGATTAGGCCGAGAGATTTCTTTCCGGTCCTCTGAGCTCGGCTCAATTGGCTTCCGCCGCGCTTTGACAAACACGTTATTAATTGAAAGAGTACAAGAATAGCTACACTGTTGCGAGACATTACTACAATAAATATACCATATGTGCTACATTCTATTTCAATGAAATTGATAATAAAAACTATTCTGACATCACGTTCAAAATAATTAAAAAATTTATTCTCGCAGAAGAATATAACAAATATTAAATTTATTTACTTTTTATATTTGCATAAAAATTAATTAAAAGAATTCGACTTTCAAACAATGATTCTAAATAATATAAATCGTACTGTATATCAATTTATTAGCTTAGATTTATGACAGTTTACTTATTTTCTAAACTTCATGAAATCTTTTGAGATTATACATAAAAGGCAATTTATAGCGCGTCGTAGTATTTTGGCTAGATCTCTCGTCGGAGACGGTCTTTCGTTTTAATCCCTTACTAAACCACACTTAACGTTCAGGGCTTAGTTAGACAATAGATTCGCGGTGCCAGCATCGCGGCAGGTAGAAGAAATATTCGCTGAAGAGTCTCTCTTTCTCTCTTTTTTCCCTCTCTCTTGCTTACGGTCCTCTTCACAGGACGTTGGAAGTTCTCCGGGTGCCCTGTTAGCTAATATAAAGCGATATATATATAAATATATACAGGGTGTCCCAGAACTAGTAGTAAACCTATTAATGGCAGATTCCTGGGAGAATTTGAAGATAATTTTTCCTCAACGAAAATGTCGAGACATCAATCATTTTCGAGTTATAAGCGATTGAAAATAAGGGGTTTTTCGCAAATTAAGCCATGTGGAAATAAAATATGAACAAAATCACATTCTTTTATTAATTTCATGTGAAATTTGCTTTAATAAATTTTAATTTAAAGTTAATTACAAAGATACATGATGGCAAAAATTAGGAACATGCAAAAAATAATGGCCTCCCTCGACATTTTCGCTGAGGAAAAATCATCTCCAAATGATCTCAGGAATTCGCCATTAACAAGTTTACTATTAATTTGAGACACCTTGTCCGTTTTCTCAGTGAAACCAATTTATTATATATTAGTTAGAAGGACTTGGCTTATTGAAAGCGAAAGGCATCGCAGCGAGAAAAAAAGAGGTGATGAGAAGAAGAGGATTTATTGAAACCGCGTACACAGTAGCACTGTTTCTATCGTCCCTCGATGCCGACGAAACGTCGACTCTGAACTTTGTGAACACTTGTCTGTGTGTGCAGTACACATCCCACGTGTGTGCGTATGCGTGCTCCATTGACTTGTTTAATAAATAGTACGGTATTTATATTGCAAGCGATATGTGCGCAACACAAGATCGGTGCGAGGGTATGAGATAGAGATAGCGATGGAACTCTCTCCCCGATCGGATTTATTGGAATATTTGCATTACACTTTTGATCAACAGCAACAATCTACCTTGCACGTCAACACTGCTGTCGCGCTTTGAAGAAGCTCTGAAACGCGGCATTGGTACAGATGAAACTCTCTAGATTCAACGGGCTTTTCCGATA